CCGGTTGGTGCGAGCGAGGCCGCCCGGGGAGCGGGGGGGGGGGGGGGGGATGCATGAGGTCTGTAACCTGGGAGCTTTTGCTCCTCGGTTCATCGACCATATAATGTGCAGGGCTGCTGGTTGGCCGGTGGAGGGGGCCAGGCGCTGGGTGTACATCAGCCAGCTGGGCTCCTGCAGGGCTCAAAGGAGCAAGGGAAAGCCCAGCTTTGGGGTGGCACTAAGCACACAGTTGCCTCTGCTGGGCGAGCTGGCTGGGAGCCTGCCCATCCCCTGCATGGAGCAGGGGCAGCGATGCGCCTTGCAAGGACAGATAAAAGCTGCGGCTGTTTCACTCTCCACCCTGCAACCGGCCAACCCAGGGAGCAGGAGCCCGCAGAGACCGCGGCTCCTCACTGCCCCCACTGAACAAGCGGGTGCGCGCAGGCCGCTCTGGGAAGCCTCCGGGGCAGGAAGTGCCAGGCTGCTTCTGCACACGAGCCTGTCTCCTATGTGCCTGACTAGGGCTGCCAGATGGTTTCAACAAAAATACCTGACAGACTTGACATTACAGCACAAGCTACATCACATCTGATTTAGAGGATACCGGACAGTTCTATTTGCTCAATTTGTTTCTCAAACAGAAGGCTCAAATACTGGACTGTCCGGTTCAAAGCCGGACTCCTGGCAACCCCGTGCCTGACCCCCAATTACCCCTTCCTCCGGCACACAACTCATACCCTCTCCAAGGGCCCCAGCCCCGCTGCAGCCTGAACCTCACTCCCCCCGGCCCTCTTTGCTCTGGCTGACCTGCGAAGTCTCACAGGCTTCCTCAGCCCTGCCCGAGTGCGAGTTGCTGAGCTCAGTTGGGGGATTCCTAGCCAAGGGCCTGGTTCCAAAGGAATCCAGGGCAGGTATACAGAAGTGCATCCTTTCCAACCCAGGCCTATGCCTTAGTGTTACTGAGCACTGCTCTTGTTTCACTGGAGCTATTCCTGCCGGCACTGCGGCCATAAGACACAGCTTCCACACTCCCTCCCAGAAGGGGCAGTTCTTGGCTGGACGGCGTCTCAAACACAAATATCAGGGTGGAGCCCTGGGAATCCAGTCTTGCTAAGCTTAGGGCCTCTGATGGCAAGGGCATTTTGCAGTGACAGGGCCTTGGAGAGAGGGATGTAAATATCATTAGACCAGTAAACCAGTTAAACAATTGAAATTCTCTCATTTAATGGTTTAACAACTGGTAGGCCAGTGCAGAACAACTAGAGCAGGAGTCCTGCCTGCCAGACGCAGCCGGGCGCAGCTCCTGGCCAGCCTGATGGAGTTTGGACAAGGTCTATTTAACAATCCCGTAACTCATGCTTACCAGGTAACTGGTTAACCCTTTACATCCCTATTGCAAGATGTCCTATGCCATGAAAACTCCCAACTGCAACAGGGACCTAGGATGGCAATAAATACACTAGTCTCCAAAGTGGCAAAATTTCCATTTAATTTACAATGTAATAAAGGTTACAGGTAAAAAGCTAAACAGAAAGAGTGAAAAGGCCTATTACACAAATGTACAAACTTCTGTACAAAGCCCATAGGTTTCACGCCAACTCCTCCTTCCTGGCCTGTAATAGCCACAGAGCTCTGAAATAATGAGAGCTTGTACAAAGCCAACAAGGAGAAGAGCTGCAAAACACACAGGAAAGTGCCCCTTCTCCAGGGAGATCTCACAGAGTCACTTGTAAAATAAAGTCTGTTCTGTTCAACTTTGACTTGCCCTAACTGGTCACATCTTGAAGAGTTGCCTTCATAACAGACTGTCAGGAAATAGAAAAATCCTTCAGCCTAGGAAGAAGAACTAAAAATCCAGGGAGAAAGTCAGTCTGGCAGCGGACGTTGGAGGCTTTGGAACGGAGCGACTAAGGAGGAACACAAGCCATTTAGCATGTTAACCTAAACCATGGGGTGTTACAATCACACCAGTGAGAAATGAGACCAGGAAAGGCTCCAGCATCTAGTAGTTTAAGCCAGACATGGCGGAGTGGGGCAGGGGACCAGCCGGGCCGTAAGGAATTTCAACCAATCCTGGCTGGATAGTTATTAGCTCATTTTTATACCACAAACATGATAGAAGTGGTCATTCTGTAGAAGCAAAAATTACACTGATTTTGGATCATCTGTCCAAAGCAGTTCAAGGGTCCAGACAGAGCCAATACATTAGGGGCAACATAACTCCGATGGCTGTCAGGTTTCGGCAACACTAGTTTGCTGGGTAACTACTTGTAACGCATTACTGCCCCAGCAGGGATGTTGTCATTTTAGTGAGCACATTCTGGAGCAATTCTCCAAAATTATATAGTGACTGATTAGATGAACTGTGTTATCACACAACACAAAGGCTTCTGAATAAACCCAGGACAGCTCTGATTTCTCTTTGTATTTACTTAAAGTCAAATACTGAATGAACTTAACATTTCTGTTTTAGAAACTCCTGAGGAGGATTTGCCGGAGCGTTCTAGTCAACTCCTCATTCTGCTCAACAAAGAAAACAAAATGAGGTCAAACCAGAGTGTTGTGCGCTGAAGCCAGGAAACCTGCTTTTGTTTAGAGGCAGGATTTTACATTCCGCCGAGACGCACCCCTATCATTTTAGGAACCTGATGTTTTGTCTTTAACCCCTGCCACCTGCCGCTAGCAGGGAAAAGCGCAACATGGGTTTATTCTTTAATGTTTAAAAACCATGTAGTTTGTATGAGACCAACCCTTCTCTGCTGACTGGCTGCTCCTATTTACAGATCTAAAGTCTTAAGGGTGTGTGTGTTTTCTTCTTCAATTGAAGAGATTTCATGTCAGCTGAAAGGTTAAAAAAAAATCAGACTTTAAAAAACCAAGTGTCCTTATCTGTGTCCTTTGACACACCTGAGATATTAGAGCAGAAGGGTTTTCAAGGAGTTCACACTAACCATTTCTTTGCAGTTTGCTTTGTATTTAACAAAGGGTGATAAGTAGAAATTGACTAGTCAGTTTCATTTTTATTTCTTGTTCATTTCACCTCCAGCCTCTGAAGAGCTACCCAGATGCTGCAAAGATTTAGGTTGCAAACACAAGGAAATGTTCACAGCCAAATTAAAAGCCTTTCATGTGACTTTGTAATGGTGCAACAATAATAGCAATCCCTTTCTATTACGGTTGCACACAAAAGCCTTATTTAGTACTGAATTTAGGCTCGCCCCGGCACACTTAACTCTTGAGATAGAGCATACTGCCGGAGCAAGGTTACTCACAGTAGTAACCACAACGCTGAGCTGACGTGTTTGCAGGACCAGGCCATGTTTGGGGCCTGATTTACTTGACAGTGTCCCTCTAGTTTAGGGGGAGTGGCCTTTGGGTTCCAAAGGAGGTTGGAGAGGTGTTTTTACAGACATATACAAATGTTTGAAGACAGATCTTTGAGGGACACTTCACTCCTCCACTCTTGATATTACACGTGGTGAAGACACAACAGAAGACGATGCTGCATGGGAACAGTCTCAAGTTCATCACTCTCATCTCAGATCAGCAGAGAAGGGGTGGGCTTCTTGCCTGGCCAGGCTTCCTTTGCATACTTCTTCTTCTTCGGTTCATTCACAGCCTCAGGATTGAAGACTGCAGGGTTGGGAGCAGGGTTCATGCTAACTGGCGATGGCACAACAGGAGTCAAGTCCACCTCTGGGGCAAGATTGGGGTAGGGCATTGGCAGGCCTCCAATGAGCGCTGTCCCGTGAATGCCATGCGACTGAGAACCTGCCTCATTGTGAGTGGGAGGCAGGCCACCGTACAACCCTCCGCCATAGGGGAAGTTCTGCATGCGCCGTGTCACAGACTCATCCATGCTCAGCGAGCCTGGGTTTTCCAGCCGCTTCTTCTGCAATGGAGGGAAGACAGAGCTAGTGAGGGCAGTGCTGGTCACTCTTGTTTGGGAACCACTTGAACACTGTTGAGGGCATGTCTCGACTACAGGCTTTTGTCGACAGAAGTTTTGTCGACAGATACTGTCGACAAAGAGCATCTAGACGACATCCAGTCCTGTCGACAAAGCAAGCCGCTTCGTCGACATGAGAGTGTAGACGCAAAGGACAGTGTAGATGCAATAACAGAGCTCTACCGACAAAAGGGGTTATTCCTCGCAGAACGAGGTCTACCGCCGTCCACAAAACTGCTGAGTCCAGTCGACGTTATGTCGACAGAACTCAGCGGCACTGCAGACTCACGTATAGTTTGTTGGTAAAACCCTGTAGTCTAGACACACCCTTAGTGACCTTTCCAAACGCCTCTCCCCCGCAGCAGCCACAGAGCTCGGCTGGGAAGGAGGAAGGGTCTGTCCCCCTCTCCCCCGCTGAGCGCGGCTGGGAAGGAGGAAGGGTCTGTCCCCCTCTCCCCCGCTGAGCGCGGCTGGGAAGGAGGAAGGGTCTGTCCCCCTCTCCCCCGCTGAGCGCGGCTGGGAAGGAGGAAGGGTCTGTCCCCCTCTCCCCCGCTGAGCGCGGCTGGGAAGGAGGAAGGGTCTGTCCCCCTCTCCCCCGCTGAGCGCGGCTGGGAAGGAGGAAGGGTCTGTCCCCCTCTCCCCCGCTGAGCGCGGCTGGGAAGGAGGAAGGGTCTGTCCCCCTCTCCCCCGCTGAGCGCGGCTGGGAAGGAGGAAGGGTCTGTCCCCCTCTCCCCCGCTGAGCGCGGCTGGGAAGGAGGAAGGGTCTGTCCCCCTCTCCCCCGCTGAGCGCGGCTGGGAAGGAGGAAGGGTCTGTCCCCCTCTCCCCCGCTGAGCGCGGCTGGGAAGGAGGAAGGGTCTGTCCCCCTCTCCCCCGCTGAGCGCGGCTGGGAAGGAGGAAGGGTCTGTCCCCCTCTCCCCCGCTGAGCGCGGCTGGGAAGGAGGAAGGGTCTGTCCCCCTCTCCCCCGCTGAGCGCGGCTGGGAAGGAGGAAGGGTCTGTCCCCCTCTCCCCCGCTGAGCGCGGCTGGGAAGGAGGAAGGGTCTGTCCCCCTCTCCCCCGCTGAGCGCGGCTGGGAAGGAGGAAGGGTCTGTCCCCCTCTCCCCCGCTGAGCGCGGCTGGGAAGGAGGAAGGGTCTGTCCCCCTCTCCCCCGCTGAGCGCGGCTGGGAAGGAGGAAGGGTCTGTCCCCCTCTCCCCCGCTGAGCGCGGCTGGGAAGGAGGAAGGGTCTGTCCCCCTCTCCCCCGCTGAGCGCGGCTGGGAAGGAGGAAGGGTCTGTCCCCCTCTCCCCCGCTGAGCGCGGCTGGGAAGGAGGAAGGGTCTGTCCCCCTCTCCCCCGCTGAGCGCGGCTGGGAAGGAGGAAGGGTCTGTCCCCCTCTCCCCCGCTGAGCGCGGCTGGGAAGGAGGAAGGGTCTGTCCCCCTCTCCCCCGCTGAGCGCGGCTGGGAAGGAGGAAGGGTCTGTCCCCCTCTCCCCCGCTGAGCGCGGCTGGGAAGGAGGAAGGGTCTGTCCCCCTCTCCCCCGCTGAGCGCGGCTGGGAAGGAGGAAGGGTCTGTCCCCCTCTCCCCCGCTGAGCGCGGCTGGGAAGGAGGAAGGGTCTGTCCCCCTCTCCCCCGCTGAGCGCGGCTGGGAAGGAGGAAGGGTCTGTCCCCCTCTCCCCCGCTGAGCGCGGCTGGGAAGGAGGAAGGGTCTGTCCCCCTCTCCCCCGCTGAGCGCGGCTGGGAAGGAGGAAGGGTCTGTCCCCCTCTCCCCCGCTGAGCGCGGCTGGGAAGGAGGAAGGGTCTGTCCCCCTCTCCCCCGCTGAGCGCGGCTGGGAAGGAGGAAGGGTCTGTCCCCCTCTCCCCCGCTGAGCGCGGCTGGGAAGGAGGAAGGGTCTGTCCCCCTCTCCCCCGCTGAGCGCGGCTGGGAAGGAGGAAGGGTCTGTCCCCCTCTCCCCCGCTGAGCGCGGCTGGGAAGGAGGAAGGGTCTGTCCCCCTCTCCCCCGCTGAGCGCGGCTGGGAAGGAGGAAGGGTCTGTCCCCCTCTCCCCCGCTGAGCGCGGCTGGGAAGGAGGAAGGGTCTGTCCCCCTCTCCCCCGCTGAGCGTGGCTGGGAAGGAGGAAGGGTCTGTCCCCCTCTCCCCACAGAGCGTGGCTGGGAAGGAGGCCAAGTTTCCCATGCAGCTGGAGCTCTGGAGTTGGGAAAGGTGCCTGACTCCCTGGCCACTGCAGCCCTGCACATCCCAAATTCCCCCCATCCCCTCTTCTCACCTCACTGCCTCCCTCCTCCCTACTATTTCCCCCACCTCACCCCCTGCCCTCTCCCATCAACCGCCTAACCCCAACCCTGTCTGGGCAGCTCCACTAACTAGGCAGGCAGCCCTACAGCCTCGTGTGTGGCGCTCAGGTGCACACCTTAAAGGAACGGTCTTTGGACCACCTGAACAAGCCACTGAAACTGGATCCCATCTCATTTTTTTCCACCCTCTTCTCCCCGACCCTAGCTTTGTCCCGTACAAAGCAGTTACACAGACACAGCAAGGTTACCCTCTTCCCCCATCAGCTGGCCTTCCTCTGAGGATGCCAGCAGTGTCACTCCCACAGCTCTCCCTGATGCAGAACAGCCACATTGCAAGGGCACGGCTACACAACAGACGTACCTCGACACAGCCACTGCTGTAACTACTGTGGCCTGCCACATGCACGATCACCCTCCTGTCAGCAGATCTCCAGGAGCCACCGCACTGACTTAACAGAGGCAGCGTGTGTGGGGGGGGGGGGGGGGAGGGGGGACACTGAAAACACAGGCTCTCAGCTCCAGGTGGGAGTCTGGCAGGGGGCAGCCTGGCCATGAAGCGGAGAGCCCAGTGGGAGAGGAGGCAGGAACAGACAGCCCGGCCCTGGAATGGAGAGTCCAGCCACTGATGGCCCATGTTGTGAGTCCGCTACCAGGGACCCTACCAGCCTCTGTCAATTTTACAGCTCCAGCATCAAGAAGAAATTGATAAGACTGACAGCCAGCAGCTGCCGCGAGTAGAGCAGTATTTGCACGGACTGTTGCCGTACGGCAGTGAGTCCTCTCGTGGAGGCAGAGTTCTTATGTCGGGGTAGGAGGGCACGTACTCTGGTGGGAACAAGGCTGGAGTGTCCCGGACGTAAACTGCCTGTAGTGTAGATCAGTCCTGCGTGTTGGAAGCGTTAGGCAGGGTTTAGCTGATGGACTAGACTGGGGTGGCCAACCCGTTAGAGCCAAAATACCATCACAAAAAAAGCACTGGGAAGGGGCGAGAGGGGCAAGCTCTGGGAGGGAATCTGGGAGCAGGAGGAGGTGGAGAAGAGGATTCTGGCTCAGGGAGGGGGCTCCAGGCTGGAGAGTGTTGGGGTCTGGGGGAGAGTCGGGGTGCTGAACAAGCCACAGGCTTGTGGCTGTGGGGGTGCAGGAGGGTCTCAGGGCAGGGAAACTGGGAGTATGACGGGCTCAGGACACAGTTTGCAGTGTGTGGATGGTGCAGGACTGTTGGGGCAGAAGACTGGGATGTGGAGGGTGCAGGAGTTTGGGGATGTGAGAGGCTCAGGATAGCGTGTTCCAGTGTATGACAGGCTCAGGGGTGGAGTCTGGGGGTGGGGGTCCAGGAGTGTTAGGATATGGGGATGTGAGAGGCTCAGGACAGGAGGTTCCAGTGTATTATGGGCTCCGGTTTGGGGTGGGCGGGGCTGCAGGAGTGTTATGATGCTGCGGCCAGATGTGGGCTTGGCCCCAATTGAGGGCTGCTTGGCCAGGATTCATTTTAAAATAAAATATTATGTCAAACACAAAATGTTTCGCATTGTCTTTATTTATGAGAGGGGCGGGGACCATGTTTTGAGTCGGGGTCACTGATCCACAGAAAAGTCAGCAGGGGCCAGACAAGTGAGATGCAAAAAATCCCCCCAAAAAACTCCAAGCCTCACTAATGTGGCCCCAGCTGTGCTATAGCGGACAGGGTGCTGGGGCAGGGTACTTGTTTGGGAGGGGGGAAGAGAGGGAGAGAAGGGGACAGGGACCAGTACCTGGGGATCCTGCACCTGCGCACCAAGGCTCGGGCAGCACATGCCTTGCTCCTCCACTCCTCACGGCAGCGTGTGCAGCCCGAGCAGGCGTTCTGGGGACTTTATTCCCCCGCTGCCTTCCTGCATGGGGGGTGGAGGAGTCCCAGACCGCGCCAGCCCCAAACCCTCAGGCAGCACGTGTCTTGCCCCTCCACTCTCCACAGCAGCGCGCGCCACCGGAAGAGCTGGCACGGTCCCGGACCCCCACCCCGTCCCCCATGCGCAGGAAAGCAGCAGGGGAACCAAGTCTGCAGCGTGCGACGGACCAGCGGTTTAGGTACCGCGCCGGCTGTTGGAGGGGTGGGGGAGAGCAGCCTGCCTACTTCCGGGACCTGGCGCACAGCTGCAGAACTCCCGCCCACCCTGCAGGAAACCCACGCTACCTCCGTTATCCCTGGAGGTAGCATCAGTGTGGCGTTCATCTCAGGGGCAGCGCCAGTGAGCACAGGGCAGCCAGGGGCCATTTGGGGGTGGGGAGGGGAAGAGCCGCATGCGGCTCGCAAGCTGTGGGCTGGCCACCCCTGGACTAGACTGAGCTTGGTTACTACAGCTGGTGTCCTGTGTACCCACGTAAAGAAAACAGAGCCATCTCTGGATTGAGAGGCAAATTGTGTCTTGCTTATGATCATAATCAGGTCTTTTCCCAGAGAGATAACAGTCAATTAGAACAAGTATTCATTCCCACCTGCATCTCTTTGTACTTTGCAGATGGAATTTCACACCGTTTGGCGACTCTGAAGGTTACTACAGCTGGTGTCCTGTGTACCCACGTAAAGAAAACAGAGCCATCTCTGGATTGAGAGGCAAATTGTGTCTTGCTTATGATCATAATCAGGTCTTTTCCCAGAGAGATAACAGTCAATTAGAACAAGTATTCATTCCCACCTGCATCTCTTTGTACTTTGCAGATGGAATTTCACACCGTTTGGCGACTCTGAAGTTCATCTTTAGTCCTGAGTATTTTACATAAGGGTGCACGGCAGACTTGTCTCTCTCATTGTTCCCTGCCTCTCCCACAGGAAAAAGCAACTGCATCAAGCCCCACCAGTCCTACTAAAGAACCTTCTCTGGCACCCGTTGTTACTTCTCTCATGCAGAAAGCAGACCATGAATTCCTACATGTTTTCTGCCCCCGAGCTGGCTTTTAGTCTGTAGCCATACTGGCGCTCTCACCCCATAACGTCTAACACCAAACTCCACAGCCAATGAGTGTTCAAAGAGCATTTGGGGACATTTCCATTCGCCTTAAATTCTGTAAACGCCACCTAACTTATGAACCTGAACAAACCTACCAGTTTCCCTTTCAGCCAGCTGAATGCAAGAAGAAAATACGGACAATTCCCCCACCCTAATGCACAACATTTAAGACAATAATTCACACTACAGATTACAAATTACAGCACGTTGTGGTTAGACGTGAAGTTAATTTGTACCTTAACTGGGACCACTGCTGTCTGCACCATGTTTCTGAAACGCCCAACAGAAGGGTCCACGTCCTCTGTAAGCAGGAGAAGGTTATGCTGTTAGTACGAAGGCAAGGGGAGGATGCACAGCTGCTGCTGCACCTGGCATGCAAGTGCACCTGTCTACAGATCCCTTGAGTTAGGAACTGTGCACATGGGGAGTCAAAAGGGAGAGAAACTAAGATTTGCTGGGGCCATCTAGTGGCAGTGGACTCCCAACGTATTCAGGCTGGGACGAGCTGGAAGCGCTGCTGACCCTTTGGGATGGGTGTGTGCTGCTGTTCCTTAGACTGTGGCTGTTCAGATGGTTCATTTATCCACCTTCCTTCAAGACTGATGTTGTTGAGCTTCACTTTCCAGGCCAACTGCGAAATAAGGCACCCAAGCAGCTCAGGCAAGAAGTGCCAGTGACTGGCTCCGGAGGGCCAGGCAGCAGAAATGAATGGGAAATCTCAAACGACCCAAGTCAGTCACTACTGAAGTGTGCTCTTGTAAAGGATCATGTGGCAGCAACGCAATCGCAATTGTTAGTGTGGGCTAAATGCACTGCCAAATGGTGCTCGCTGTAATCCCCAAGACCAACAAAGAGGCAAATCAACAGCTGCTTTGAAAATGCCGTTCTAAATGAGCAAGGGGCGGGCAGGGGGAACTGGGCCAGCCACAGAGTAGCAGGGAAATCTGAGCTGAGGATCCAAACGTGGGCCTGCAACCACAAGTGCCTGAAGCATTTAGGGCTAGATTTTTAAAAACGCTCATCTCCCATTTAGACACCAGCGTATGAGAGGTTAGCGTGCAGGGTGCTGAGCTGCTGAAAATCTGGTGCAACTGAGTTCTGAACACAGCCCTGCAAAATTGCAGCTATCCACTTTAAGCCCACAGATGTGGCTGTGGCCATCCACGAATCACTTGTGGATGCAGATGCCAATTCTGTATCCACACAGGGCTCTAGTTCTGAGAAGACCGCACCCTACTGCCTCAGGGGCTCCCCCTGGGTGCTCAGCAAGTGGCACAGGAACTGTAGGGGCTGTTCAGCTGAAAGGAGCCTTGAAAGCCCAGAACACTGATGGGGAGAAATGTGGGTGCTTCTCTGAAGGGCCAGCTACTTATAGTCTCCAGCTCAGACTTCTAGTTCCCAACTGACTGGCTGGGCAGCCTTCGGGGGTCTCCAGATGTGGGTACACTGGCTCTGAGAGAGGCAGGGGAGAGGAGAGGGAAGCGCAAGGTACAAACACTCACCTGGATTGATGATTTCATCATCATCGCTGAATGTCACTCTGGAGTTCTTCCGTTTTCTCTTTGGTCTCTGGATATCCAAGTTCCCTTCCTCTATGGTGAGCGTGGAGATTCTCTTGTTGTGGGCCGTGTTAAACTCAGTCAGGTTCTAAAGACATCGGGGAAATGGGCAATGCTGCTGTAATCCACAAAGCCTGCCAGGTGAGTTAGTCTCACAGAGCCTGGCCCCAGCCTGAGATCTCCAGAACGGGGGCAGAAGTGCCAGCGGCATCAGTTTGCGTCCCTCCTGGCCCGCCCTCCCGGAGGTGACTGCAAGTGATGGGGCTACAGCAGCCACTGCTTGTGAATGAGCGACTGGGCCGGGGACCAGCCAGCGACCTGGTGTGGGTCTGGCTGGGATGGAAGAACATGGCTGGGTGCCCGTTAGGAAATCACTGGGCTGTTATACGAGAGGTACTGGAAGGCAGCCTACCCTATTGGCAGTAGATGGCTTGTGAGTGCCTGCCAGCAGCAGACACCCCTAAAACCATCCACTGCACCGGGGGGCGTGCGACCCAGCGAGTGGCACAATGCTCCGTGATACTCACATCAAGCTCTGTCTCCTCCTCTGGCAGGCCCAACAAGCCCTTGAGCTCCTCGTCGTCACCGCCCATTTTCTCATCTCCTTTGACTGCAGACGGCAGCGTCTGCGGCTTCTCTCGCAGAGTGTAGGCCCGCGTGGAGGCACCAAAGGAAACCGTGGAGTCAATGGGAATCTGCTGGGGTTTGTGGGGTTCCAAACGGATGTGACCCAAGAACGTGCCATGCGCTGAGGAGAGTGTCAGATCAAAGTCAGTCAGTCGCTGGGGAACTGGAACACTGTCGTCAGGTCACCCCCCTGCACGCCTGTGGTAACGCTGTCCCCGCGCAGCCAGCATCACAGGGTCATCACCCCAATAACTCAGGAACAGAAATGACAAGCACCCTCTGCTCTCAGGCTCTCTAACACTTCTAGCCACACCCTGCTTGGAACAGGATGGAGCTCTTTTGGGTTCCAGGGCTTGAGAAAGGGCCCGAGACATTGGAGCTTTATAACTTCAAGTTCTAGTTTGGAAGAGAAGGCCAAGGCTCCCTGGAATCCCCTGCCACGCCACTACTTCAGAGCCTGGCAGTGCGCTCACCCAATGCTGACTGGGGCTAGGTCTAGACTGCAAGGTTCTGCGGAAAAAGCTATGCAAAACGCCCTCTGCATTTTGAATTTTTTTTTTTTTTTTTTGAAAAGCCTCCTCTTTCAGCGGAGCCTTTCTGCCTCGTGAAACAAGGAATACAGGGCTCCCTGAACAAGCATGTTTGCTCTTCCACGAAAAAAAGAGCAAACACGTTCCTAGGACGCAGAGGGGTTTTTGCGGGATACCTCTGATGTCCCACAAAAACCCCATCATCTAGACGTAGCCTGAGGGAGGCAAGGAGTCCCTCTACCCCCAGGCTGCGTCAACCAGGAGGAGGGGTTTGGCTCATAACCCCCCCCCATGGCAAAATAGGACTGGAAGGAATGTAGCTCGGGGGATGTTCAAGAAGGTTTGAGCATTGGGACGTAGCGCACTGGAAGCAGAAGAGCCCACCCAGTAAGTTAAACAGATTTGATCGTCATGCATCAAAATATGCTGTCAAACATCTTTAAAATCCACCAGTTGAATTATCAAGTCACCCTGCCCCCACCCCTGCTTAAATGCCAAGTTACTTACTGCTGTTAAGATCTATGAGGAAAACCCTCTTAAGATGTTTGTGATACACCAAGGCAGCATGGACCCGAGAGCAGGATTGGTGATCAATGGTAAAGTCACATAGATCAGGGTTTCTCCCAAATAGATAGTATTTCTTCTCATCAATGATCAGTTTCTGAGGTAGAATATCAAATAAATAGCAGCTTTACCTTATCAGTGTCATACATTCTCCCAGATCTTGCTAAAAACATGGGCTCTAGAACATGAAGCAAACAAATCAAAACCCATCTCACAAATCTTTAGCCACCTAGTAGAGGAAGGAAAGATTACGATGACATAGGAAGGGACACGTTAGCCAACAAGTTTTAATATGCTGAGACCATTTCAATGTTGTCTTGAATTGATCAAAGGAAATTAAAAACCAGCTCTGCCTTTCACAATCAGAGCAACTAGGCAGAAGAGCCCTACCGGGTCCTGTCCAGTCTACCCACTGGAGGCCAGTGCAAGCAGATTAGAATGAGGCCTTTTGGGGGACAGATTACCCCACATGTGCCTACCATTGGGTTTCTCACCCCTTCTGGCAATGGACGTGGTACTGAGCACAGTCAGAGACCTTGGGTCTAATGCAAAATGGCAATTCTGATATTTCTCTGCAGCACTGCGTCTATAATATGTTCTCCAGGGCTTTGTTTAGCTTAGCTGGTTTCTCCCGTGTATTCACCCACAACCAAATCCATCTATTTGCTCATTTCTTCTGCTACTCATCTTAGCTTTTCCCTTTTACTCTGGCTTGCCATACTTTCTCTATGAACAATATTTTGTTGAAACTGGATCAAGGTAGGGCATGCATGACACCCCCCTATGTAAGCTCTAAAAAAAGAAAGATGCTATGCCAGGGGTCGGCAACCTTTCAGAAGTGGCGTGCCAAGAGTTAACTTATTCACTTCTATTTACTGATCTGTGTGTTGGGGGGGAGGAGTGGAAAGAGGAGCAGGCTGGATACAGTGACCATATTTTTTGAACCAGCTGCAGCTGGGGAGAACGGTTTAATTTAATTTATTAAACAGATTAAGTGTTTTAACTTTCTTATGTTAGTTTATCAAACTTCATTTTGAAGTAAAGTATCAATTTATGTCCAATACAAAAGGTTTCAATGTTTTCTTTATTTATGGCAGAGGCAGAGAAACTTTTTTGGGTCGCGGGCCACTGACCCACAGAAAAATCAGTCGGGGACCACACAAGTGAAAAGCAAAAACCTCCTAAAAAATGCCCAACCCTCACTGATGTGGCCCCAACTGAGACCCCTCCCTCCTCCAGTGCTCCAGCCCCATTGGGCAAGGAGAAGTGATAGGGAGAACTGAAGTTCAGGGCTTCCCATAGGCCAGATTTACTTTTCTGGGGTTCCGGAGTTAGTGGATTTTATGGAGCCCCTTAGGCTCTGGAGTGGGGACAAAAACAAGGAGGTTCATTGTGCGGGGCAGGGCTGCAGTGAGTGGGATAGGGATGGGACGCACAACCTGTGTGGGAGATGGGGTGCAGAAGGGGGAGAGGTTGCAAGGTCTGGGTGGGAGAGTGCAAAAGCAGCCTGGGAGCAGGGTGTCTGGCTAGGGGGAGGGAGCAGGAGCAAAGGAGGGTGCACTGTGTGGAGGGAGTGTGCAGGAGCAGGGTGGGGGTAGGTGTCCGGCCAGGAGAGAGCATGCAAGAGCAAGGAAGGGTGTTGGAGGAAGCTGGGGGTGCGGGGTTTTGACTGAGGGAAGGAAGGGAATGAGGGGGATTGGGGTCTGGGCATGAGGGGTGGATGCTTACCTGGCTTCATGCCCCCTTGTAGTGGACAAAGCCTCCGGACAGTATGCTGCCATTCCCCCAGAGGATAGGTAGGGGGAGGGAGATCAGCCCCTCCCTCCTCCATACAGCAGGGATCCCGGCGCAGTTGGGTGGTGAAAAAACCCTGACCTTCCCTGCCAGACTCGGAATGCTGCTGCTCCCCCAGCTGGGGGG